AGATGTCCATCCTGACCTGCTCCTCCACTCATGAAACCGTGGAAACGACAGCCAAAGTAAACAGGTTTCAAAGGATCGTGCTTGAGTAGCATGTAGCGGAGATTCTCCATGACGACGTAGGTGTCATCATCTGCTTTCAGGAACCAGTCCGAATCGTTGAGGTGATGCTCGTACACGTATTTCCAGGCCGCATGTGACTTGTCTGACAGATACTGCCGACCTTCCTTCACGTTCAATGCCACGGAGGGCAATGATGGATCTGCACATTCATTATTGAAGGTCCTAATGTGCATTCATTGCATATTCTTCATTAGGCGAGGCAAGACTGAAGCTATTTCCCCATTTCTTCCATTGAGTTAGCAGATAAGGATAGTTTGGGGAAAAAGCATGAATTTAGAAAAGGTAACCTTCCACGAGTAAACCGAAAGCATAATCACTCATACCAGCTCTCTACACGAAAAGTCCCATTGGCTAGGGACCCCCTGGTTACCTATCTTTAAAGATCTAAATATAGTATTTTTTTCTGCCCAGCATCAATGTGATGAATATTTCTGAATAAGCACTTAATGCGTACCTTTCTTGGTGCTCATAAATACAATTTGATCGCATCGCTTCCCCCATGTTGCCTTCACGTGCTTGGCCTTCTTCTCGTGGTTATCCGGCATTGTCAAGATCCAACAGAGGACTCGCACTTTCCTCGATCGCTCCACCATCGACTTTCGCTCAACTGTTCGGGTGAGAACTTAAATCTTTCGAAACCTGAATCTGAAGATGTAACATGCAAGGTCAGAGAGAGGATGTGACATAACCCCATAGAGCAAGGTCTTGCTGGCATTGATTGGAGGGCACAGTATCGGCGTCCGTATCATCGCAACTCTGGACCATACCTGTCTCCCTCTGACCTCTGGAAATCGTGATAGTTCTAAGTATTTATTTACAATCATCCAATGAGCTTGAAACAAAAATAGTTCTAATGGTTTCTTTAATGGAATATTTTAAAGCCGGTTTCATTTTCTGTATTGAACATATGCGTTTGGAAACCTGCCAGTTTTCAGAGGAAAGGGTTGTCATGCAATTTCTTTCATTGTCCTACAACTACATGCGCAATCATTTCTTAAAATGAATCGAGTCCAAATGAAAACTGTAGAACTAGCTCTGACGTAGCCTCCTGAGGTTTTTTTGTTTTCATTGCTGAAGTTTTGGAGTAAATTTTACCTGAAAAACCCTTCTTTAGTTTCAGACATATAGTATTACGAGGCGGCACTCAAAATATCACATATTCACCTCATATACAGTATATATATTTATAGCGAATGAATGAATAAAAGATGGCACTCCCATTTATTACCAATGATTTCTAACTGCGCATTACAATCTCTGTCTTCATTCACATGGAGTCATGAAATCCTCACCGATCGTAGAAGAAAGAATAGGAATGAAGCCAATCAATGGAGCGGTGAGAAGAAAGCATGAGATAGGCAGACAGGAAGCCCGCAAACACTCCACAAAGCAAAGCGCCAAATGTCTCTCTCTTCAGTCCTCTTTCGAATCCAGAAATGGAAAATTGAATCGGACTATTACTATTCGCCACGTTCAAAGATATAGGAGGACTGTATGAGAATTCCACAATTGACCGACAGGTTCATGTTACTATATCCAAAGATAAGTGCCTCTCTACTTGATAGATGTGGCTAAAAGTAAGCAGGAGTTTTAAAAGTTCCAGGAGGTGGCGAGTAAGCGAAGCGTTTTGGGAGCATTGCATAGCACCTGAAATCAGTCTCATTGTACTTGTGTAGCTTCAAACGGAAAAAGTAGACTTAAACTTTACCTGATGACATTCCGTGGGTTACGCCTTAGCATAACGTTATTGGTTCCCGTAGATAAAAGGAGAGGAGACGGAAGGGAGGAGTTACGTTGAAGACATAGGAAATGCTTTTTAAAAGAAATGGTTCATACAATCTTTCGAATTATCCCAGGGACAGGGGGATTTGCACCTTTGCTGCAGTCAGTGCCATATTTGCAATCGTGTAGAGTAACCTGAGCAAACGAATCTTGCAGGATCTCTATCAATTGAAATCTCTCTTGCTATTAGTTTTCATACCATTTTTTATTAGGGGCATATTATAGGGAAAACACAATAGGAACACGACTCGAAAAACTTATATTTTTGTATCAACTTCTGTTTCCGGTTCTCTCATATTCCATTATCGATGTAGATTTCGTGAACGTCTCTTAAGAGCGTCTCTATTACTGGAAACTCAGACCTCTGTCGTGAACTTTTCTATGAGGATTGACAATGATGATTAGGAATCGCCTGACCTCATAGCCCAGGAACCGGAGACTTTTCTTGCCCTGATTCACACGGGCGGAACCCTTCACAAGCAGATGTAACTCCCGAATGATCCTCTGCTGAAATTTCAGAGAACAGGCAGATGTGGTGGACCACGAAACAAGCTCGTCGTTGGGGTAACATCCGAAGGCATATCGTATGGATCGATCCCGCGTAAGAACTGCTGCAAGTACATTTTCCATGAGTAATGTTGCTGTCATTTCCTGGCACTATTAAATAATGTATAGCTACTGTGGAATGACCTGTCTTCATAGTGTAAAAGACATTGGAATAATCATTATAATATTATTTGGTAAAACGAAATCACATTTTAAATCTCCAGAGCGCTCTATACTAAGACTAACAGTCGTAAGCAAATGTTTCATTCCATAGAATTAGCATAACGTAACTTCTCACTTCAAATTTCTGATGAACGTTTACATTTATGCTAAACATACTCCGACCCACAAATACCATGATTTGTGGGTCCATCCATACTTTGAACTGTTACATGTAATTTGGTTTTGTATAAGGAAAAAAAAACGAAGGGATATCCAGACCCCTCACGCAGGAGAACTTGATTGAATACATTCCAGGAGTTCATGTCAATAAACATCAGAATGTTTAAAGGTATGGACATCCCTCTGGTTTTATGATAGCTCATGGCTTTCCTTCGTAACCTGTAGAATACCATCACGACCATACGACAACGGGCGACCGTGGCAAAACTAATGTTTATTGTTGAATAAAATGTAAAGATACGCCAAAAGGGCATGCCCATTATAAGTATTTGTTGAATATTTTTCTCATAGGAGGTGGTTGGCTGCGATTAACCGGATCGAGGGGAAGAAATTATGGCGGGTTTGCGTCTCCAGGAGTTTAGAGCGAGCGTAGGATCGATCCAAGTTCCGCGCAGGTTTCCTTGAGCGGAGCCGGCTTCGTCGCCATTCCGCACGAAGGGGACATCTTCCATATTCTCCCTTCGAGTATTCCAGGTAATGCAGAGAAACTTCGTTGCTCTTTAAGAATGAGTTGTGTCTCTGAAGCAAGCACATCCAAGTTTCTTTCATGGATATATCTATGCATTCTTCGAGCACACAGACGTTTTCCCCCTTGCATCTCTAAGTGTATTACAAAAGCAACAGTTGGCTTTGATTCATTAAATGAACAATAGACGACAATGACATTTCAGTCACAGAAATTTCATTGTTGCGATCGTACCTGGGCACAGACCGGAGGACCTGCCCCACTAACAAGGAATTACAATTCCCTTCGGTGGTTCTTTCATTTCAATTTCAATTAGAATCCACTGAGTAGCCCTATGATTAGTCATTACGTCTAACAGTTTGTACATGAAACGTTTGCAACCTTGGATTACCTCCTTGCAAAGCAATAGCTCCTTCCGTATTAACGCAGTTTTCTTCAGTTTCAACTTCTTCCGGTTGCTCACTTCCTCTCAGATGAACCAATTTCTCTCAATTCGTGAATTAGTCGTAGTCTCTTAATGATAGCCCCTACATATGTCATACCTTACAGGAAATTCCAAGGCGTTACAGAGAGCGCCGAATATCGATTCTTGAATATGTGAGTCACATTCCTGTAGATCTTCCCCTCCACACCCCCCCCCTCCATCCTTGGTGGCCACTCCTTGAGTTAATTTTGAAGGAGCTAAAGACACCAAAAGAAAAACATGAACTAGTGGAGCGAAATAAAATCCCTTCCCCTTGGCAATGCACTAATTTGCCATATAAAATGAAAGTACCTCTCATTCATCTCTGCGTAGCATGTAGGTTCCAGTCCCATCCCCAATAACTTCTGTGAATCTTGTTGGAATTGCGTCTGATTCATGACTGAGTCTGTTTTCGTATCGGTGCATGGGTCTTCCTTTTGTGAAGTATAATACATTGCAACATTTGATTTTTGGCTTGAGTCGAGAATGACACATTGGTTAGCGGTGGTCATTCAATGTAGTGAGATATTGACGTAACGGGCATGATCATCAATAAAGTTGATCACGTCTTCATGGAATTGAATCTCAAGTCTGTCCACAGACCCTGCTTAAATGGTTCGAGAAACCTCAGGTAGTCCTAAAGTTACATGTCCTTATTGTAATTGTCAATATTACTCAAAATAGGACTATAATCAGTCTTAAATTACATGCTTTCACCAAATTGTCTCCAACACCACTTCATCGATCCATTTAGGCTTAATCGCACCCGTAAATTGTGGTTAGAGATTCTTTTTAAATTAAAAATGGAAGACATAGCCCATACCTGAATACTTTTTGCGGGATAAATCTAAGCCTTATGTTAGTGAGTCCGCTAGAGAAGTGGGTAGGAGAGGGGAGAAGTGTAGGCGGAAGAAAAGGGGAAGGAGAGATGGAGGGCGGTTCGTAGGTTGAAGAACGTAGAAACCCTTGAACAATGGTTTTCACATTACTTCATTTACAATGTCGCACTCCCACAAAGAAAGAAGGCCTGGAAAAATAAAAGGGGGGGGTCCCTTTAAAATAACGTAATTAAAGTTTTAGTATCTCAGCTCTTGCTCAACGCACAGCAACGCGTCACAGCTCATTTCATAGGAGATTTTTAAGAATTCATCCAAGCTTAGGCTGAATTTCACACTCTGTCAAGAGTTATGGTAAGATTTTTTCGATGCTCTCTATTTCTGCTTTTTGGCCGTTGCAAAGTAACATGATTCCACGTGAAATCACATATATTTCAAAATTCAGTTTAAAAACAATTCAAAATGATTTTCCACCATCGATTTCTATTTTTATGAACACATTTCTACAAACGGTGTCAATATAGAAGAATTACTTCCGTGTTATGTCGACCATGACCACGTCGAACGCATGCGCGATCGCCATCTGCAAGCACCTATGCACCTGGGTTACTGAAATTGCAATGCAAGCAATACACCTGTTCTTGAACGGAGTACCGCGGAGCTATGATAGCACGGTTCACAGGAAAAAATACATGCATAAATGTTACGGTAAGGAAAGGGCTAATTCGAGGCCAGCAATTCGGTATACGGTACCACAGTGTTGCACTGAGACGCAAGCTGCGTTTCGAACGAGTGAACGAATGAAGAATTATATTCGAAAGCAGCTTTTCGCGCGGGGAAGTACCTAAGGACTGGA